TAAATAGGGGAAGGAGGCAAAAAAGCGAACCAGAAGGAGGGAGAGCGGGTATTGTATCAAGGGAACGACTCACCAAAATTCCGTGTCTCTCTCCAAAGGCGTTGGGGGCATTGCGCGGTACTCAGACGGCGGCAACGTTGGACGGTTACAGCCCGCGCTCATAGCGGCAGTGGTCTCAACAGCCGTGTTATCGTTGACGCCGAGCGGCGTGCTGATACAGTCCGGAGGTGGAGCGAACTGGTGGGCAGCCGAGCGGTAGTGAGGAAGAATCAGGTAGGCGGGAGCACTGCATGAGAAAAGCGCTTGCAAGTCGTCAATTAATGGGCCCGGGAAGTCCTCACTCCATTGCCAGCGGGATGGAGGAGAACGAAGAGGCGACATGGGCCAAATAATCGATGAGTCAGCACAGTTGGCCGCCGAGTCCAAATTTGTCATACAATCTGAAATATCACTCAAGTCTCACTTGTATTTATTCGGACTCGTTTATTTACTCCCTCTCTTATAAGTATAAGTAATTATTTCTTCTCCAGTAGCTTCGTCTAGTTTCGGTCTGGTTAATCTAGTGTTGTCAAAGTTCGGTTCGGTTCAGGTTCGGGGCACTTTTTTCTTCCGATTAATTGACGGATATAAAGAGATCGTCTGGGCAATATCAGTGTTCATTCACTAATGCCATGCATATCTCCGCTGGTGTAATTCTTCTGCTCTTGGCAGTTTGATGTGTGGAAAAGGCGCTGGAAGATCAACTGATCTGCACTGCTTGTTGGATCACCTGAACCGCCTCCTACACCTCTTCTCTTTTTCCTTGTACGAGGTCAGAAGACCGTTGTCAAAGGTCTGATTTGAGGCAGTTCGGAGGGATCCAAAATCTTATTCAGAGGCGCCTCGCTTCGACCTTTCTCCCCCTGTCTCACGCCTACGAGTCTCCTGGTCCACAAATGCCAATCTACACTCTCAACACCATGGGCCACGCCATATATGGAGACATGAGGAAGAGCTTCGTCAAGGCTCTCATGGCCTTGCATGTACAGACATTCCAATCGGACCCTGCAGCCGTCCGCGTCGAGTTCGTCATCGGTCCGTGTGAAAATAGGCGCTTCCGCTACGTTCGCGCCTTTTTCTCTATTATAATTTTTCACTTACGCGTACCTGAACCTATCCAGGGCGGATATGGGTTTAAATCCGCGAAAGGGCTGTTCGGCTATGATATTACCACAGCGCATCTAGTTGCGCAGGTCGTGTGGAATGGGAGCACCGAGGAGTGGCAGGAGTGTTGCAGGAAGATCGCCAAGCTCTGGGGCCCGCAGTTGAGGACGGTTGTGCTGCAGAGTGGAGTGGGAGGTTGAGGTTGAGGATCAGGGCTGGCTCGGGCGCATTGTCGGCAATGACAATGCCGGTGAAGGGGGAGAGAGTTGAGAAGATGAATTTATATTCAAGTTGTTTGTAATATTGTTAGGGATGTCGCATTGGCCTTGTCAATTTCTCTGGTCTGGTCTCGAATCTATGTGAGTCGAGTAATGGAGGACCTATCTATCTTATCCGACAACCTGGGGCCAGGTTGTCGTTCCCGGAGGCCGTTCTGGCCTTGATGCACGTTTTTTGTTGGAGGATCCCCCCGGATCGGCGGCCATGCACCGTTTTGGTTGCTGTGAGGTCGAAATTGGGGGCAACTTGGCTTTTTGGGGCCAACCTGGAGTTTTCTTGGAATTGAGCCGGATCTGCATTTATTTAGGGGGCCTGCTGTGCAAAAGAAAGTGGGTCCACCCCAAATCGGGGCAAATGAGGTTTTTTTGTGTACTCAACCTGAAATTGGAACCCTAACCGACTTTTCTGTGTACCCTAAGGCCAAATCACAACCCTAAGCATTCTTAGTGTACCCTAAGGCCAAATCACAACCCTAAGCATTCTTAGTGTACCCTAAGGCCAAATTGGTGGCAACCTGGCATTTTTTGTACCTTAAGGTCATATTGGGCCGGATCCGCATTTCTTTAGGGGGCCTGTTTTCTAAAAGAAAGCGGCCCCACCCCGAATCGGGGCAAATGAGGTTTTTTTGTGTACTCAACCCGAAATTGGAACCCTAACCGACTTTTTGGGTACCCTAAGGCCAAATGACAACCCTAAGCGACTTTTTGTGTACCCTAAGGCCAAATGACAACCCTAAGCAGTCTTAGTGTACCCTAGGTCTATCGGCGCCTCCAGGATTACGGCTGTTGCATTAATTGTTTACACATGCTGTACTTGGTTGCAAAATCTGAATCCTATACCCACATGCACCCCTGCCTCCAGACACCTTTCTAAATATTTACTTACAATATTCAAACACCCCCCTTTACTCCAAAATCCCTCGCCCTTTTCGCGTTGTTTTTTTTAAGGGCCCAATACAGAAATTTCGGGATTTTCGACGACTACGCGGGAAAAAACCACTTGCCTGTCGGCCTACCCCAGATCTGAGTACATATATGGATAAATAGGATACTAACCTAGGTTATTCTCAGTTTACCACATAAAGTTGACACTGGGGGCAAAGATAGAGGCACCTGAAAGCCAAGTGCCTTACATGCACTTGGCTTGCAGGTCGTAAGGCAATTTACAGGCAATATACAAAGTCTCTTTGACCAACAAAGGGTAGTCAAAGGGGAGACAAAGGACAGGTAAAATTTCCCAGCACCGCAAGGATCTTTGCCTGCCCTTTGTCTTTGCTTTGTCTGGGCTTTGTCTGTCCAAGACACTTTTTCTGTTCTTTGTTGGCGACATTACCACCTGCGAGCCAAGTGCGTGTAAGGCACTTGGCTTTCAGGTGCCTCAATCTTTGCCCCCGGTGTGATACAACACGGAATAAACGCGATGTAAGTGTATTCACTTGCCTTGGATGGTCTGTAGGCTTTAAGCAAATACAATTCCGCTCCACAGAATATCAAAGACTGGAAACAGAATATCAAATGCAGAATAAATATTAGAGCAAAAAATATATCATCTAGTCTCCTGTAGCCTCTGTCCAAAATTCATTGCTAGACCCAGATTGCTCCTCTCTACTCCAATTTGCTCGCTCCTGCGCTGAGCCCGAATACGAGCATCACCGAGATCACCGAATTGATTCCCATGCTTACTTCCACCACGTCTCACTTGTCCCATATTCCCGATTCAGGATATCTTTTGTGGCTATTACAATCCCGTGCTCGGTGGGAGGCAAACGGAAGCAGGGCCCGGGAAAGCCAAGTGAAAGCTCTGATCGCCAGAGGACCCCTTGTGCCGTCGTCAAGGCAAGCAAATGGCGCACGGAACGGGTACGGCAGCATCGGCATGAAATAAGATGAGCTGGACTTCAGTTCTGCCGGTCCACACCGGTTTTCAAACTTATAAAGTTTGCTAGAACTTAAGTTATAAGAGATCTTAAGTTCGAAAACCGGTGTGGACCGGCCAGAACTTAAGTTCAGCTAATAAAGTATTTGACTGTACACTTACTCATGTGCTCATTTAACGTAGTTAAAAAATCAAGTACAAGTTTTTCCCGGGCACCGCCATGGCCCACAACCCCAAGCAGTCTACCAAATACAATAGGCCGTTGAACGCGATTTAAAAGGGACTAGATATTTTGGCATCTGACTCAACGGTTCAGTCAGGCCAGTCATTACCCCCCTTTCCCAAAATGTCAGTTTTGATTTAAATTGCGGGCGCACTTCCAACAGTTTGGTCGGGGCTGGGCCCGAAAGCCAAAATCGGTGTAATTGGTGACTCAGCACCGCCAATTTCGCTCGACTCTAAAAAAGCAGGCCCAATTGACAGAAGTGCGCTCCCAAATATCTCCGCAAGCTCCTCAGCATGAATGCCCTCTTACCAGTACAATACAAACACGACTCGATAGAGTATCCGAATGGGATTGCCATCTGACTCAATCAAGTCAGTCATTAATTACTTACCTGTTGCATCGCCACTCTTTTGCAATTGAGTCCTGACGAGTCACAGGCTGAAAATACATTAAATGCGAGCCTGCTCTCGGCAGTTCTCGGGGCCTGCAGGCCCCGAACGTGAATAACTGTCGATGCGTGGAAGGGCAGTGCAAACCAAGGCAGTAGTAATTCCCACAGTTAGTCAAACAATTCTGGTCTGACGCGGCTGCGAAAAGTCGCTGTAACGGCTTGTAATAAACGATACCTAACAAGTTAGGACTCGTAACATCTCCCTTCTTGGAACAGTATGCCGATTTTTCTGCAGTCGGTCGGCACTCTACCGTCCCCCATTTTACCAATCCCTCTCATCGGCTTCACAATGTTCCTCACTGGTTTCACAGATCATTCCTGTCCAATATTCCGCGTGCGCGCGCCTCAGGCCTATCATTATTGTACAATCTATAAATATGTACCGGCTTCTCATTAATTATGTATCCTATAAGACTTTTTTTTAAAAATAGCTGCTCCACTCTTCAAAAAAAAAGCAATAAATTGATATCACGACTATTTTCACAAAGCTAGTTGCAACACAACGAATTCGTCCGTCCTGGTTCGGTGGTGCCATTCCCACCACACACTTTGCCTGGCCCGGAAGCCCGCCGGTATCCTTTTTCAAACTTTTAGTAGCATTTTCGTTTGGTCTCTGCGCTTGCGAATGCATAGCATCCTACACCGCCTCGAAAACAAATTTCACCTAGGACTGATCCTGATTCTGCTTCAAATATTCCCAGGCTGGACCAAAAAAATTCCCTCGGGAATATCTATGCCCAGAGGAGGATTCGAACCTCCACTTTGAATTTATTCTTCATGATTGAGCAATCATGGAGAGTGGATGATATGCCAATTCATCTACGAGGGCTATTCACCATACATCCAATTCGGGACGTGGTTTCACTCATTCTGACACACGCAAACTTCTGCATATAGATCCATTCTGCACGCATTTTCTCATCTGCTTTTACATTGAGTCTTTCTAAATGCGTCAAGCGCTGCCAATGATTGAAAAAAAAATCAAAAGACAACGAAAATACGAGAAAAAAGTGGACCCCACATATATGCCCCCGGGAGGATTCGATCCTCCGCCTCCGATTTAATCGTCGACGGCTAATGGGTGATGGTACCATCCATCCACGAGGGCTTAGTTCCTAATTTCGAACTCAGACATGAGTCAATCAATTCTTAATTTTACTGACGGTATACATTCCCTTCACACACGCATTGTGGCCTCAACTAATAGATGGTGGGTAACGTGCCAATTCAGCTATGAGGGCTATTTCTCCAGCGTGGGTAAGCCGTAAAATCATGTCCTCTTTTAAAAGTAAAGAAAGAAAATTCGCCCGCAAACCCTAATGCTCTCAGCAGGATTTGAACTCCGCTTTTCTTTGAGCTTCCGTACATCAATAAAGGGGATGAGATACCAGTCCATCCACGAGGAGTTTTTCACCAGATTCAAATCGAGATTCAAATCGAGATATAACTCAGTCAATTCAGAGAAAAATACGCAACCCAGTCCTTGGTGGGGCCAAAAAAAGAGCGCGGCCACAATTCGGGGAATTCAATTTACCTTTTACTATTTCCACAAAAATGGCTGATGTACCGATTCATCCAGGAGGGCTATGCATCTTACCTCCAATCACCGATGGCACCGTTATTCCTCCTAGCTTTCTCCTGTAAATAACATCCAACTCATTTGAAGAAAGAAAAACGAGAATGAGTTCATCAGCCCAGGAACGAGTCGAGTCGGGCCTGTCCCATTACTCTACCTCGGGAGGATTCCAACGATGTCCTCGAGCGATGAGTGTACAAGTAACGTGGACGATGTTCCAATTCGGCCTTTGTTTTCCAGACCTTATATACCAGCCAAATTTTCCTTTTTTTCAATGGACTGCTAAAAAGACTTGGATACCTCGATGATATCCCAGGGAAGATTCGAACCCCCGCGTCCCGTGTGCAGAGATTGCGATTAAGTGATGCATAGTGGTGACGCACCACGAAGACTGCTTTCCTACCTTCAAACCAAGTTGATTTACACTGTGCAATCAAAGAAAAAAATACTCCAGACAGTAGCGAGCTCGAAGGCATTTTGCACCATCTATTTCTGGCAATAAATTGGAAAGGAAAAAGCGGACTTGAACCTACTCACCCCGAGGAATCGTGTCTATTCATGTCTTGCAGTTACAGTAGAGAAACGATTAATATGTTGACTCAGTGTAATTCGGTGATGTCACAAAAAGGTTAGAATTCCCCCTGACAGTTACACGGATGCGGATATTTTATAGTCAAACGACGATGTACTTAACAGCGGCCGGCTCCCGAACCTAGATTCAACTCAGCTGGATTTTTGGCTGGCGGTCTTTTTAAACAAATTTGGGCTCGTACTTTGTGCTGAATCTACCCAGATCGGCTCGCGGTATACTGAATAAGCATTATCGAGTCGCTAGTATTTTCCAGGATAAATTTTTACCCCTTTTGACTATGTACCTCTGTTGCATTCGGGGGGTGTCGTAAGACACGTGTCATTGCTTCCTCTTTCGTTCTTCCTCCTTTGCGGTGACCCTTCGCTCTATAGCTACTTTTGCCAAGCGGACCCACGGTGCTCAAGATCCTCACAACCGCCGTGACATCTGCGTGCATCCTTTCCGCCCTCGTCGCCGCCGTGCGCCACATCGCCCGCAGCACAACCCGTGAGCGAGACCCGCATAAGCAGGCGGGCGCATTCAACACCGTCGGCCTAAGCCTCATCAGGGCTCGTCTCCTGCGGCACGCACAACATCGTGCTCTTCCAGCATGCCCTGCCGTATGGCCCGTAACAGCGTGGATCATCTGCCAACGAAACATCAGTGCGAGTCGTGCGGCCTCACCGTAGGGATTGGGTTTGTTTTGATTTGGAGAGCACTAATTCAATTCGGTCAGCTGGACCCAAGTAACGAGAACTTCTGGATTGCAGCCACACAAATTGACTCTGGATCAACAACCATCGAAGAAAAGGCGGTGGATCTCACTGCGGTGATAATAAATCCACAGGTAGTGGAAGTCAGTAATTCGGGGGTTGTCCCAGTTGCACCGCTGACATTGCATCCCCCTCGCCTGGAGCCATCTGTGGGCGCAACCCCCGAATTGATGCTTCGACAGTTGAAAACCGCTTTACAAGCAGCGGAAGCAAAACTGGCTGAGCACACTAATATGTTCTTGGCCAGAGCCCTGTCCGCCGCAAAATGACGACGATATTCTCTGGAATTTTGCACGCCATTTTATGGCCTGGAGAGATGACCAAACGGAGCGCAGGCGACTGGAGACTGCTGGTATGTTTTTCTTTTTCCTTCTTTCTTGTTCTTCAACTAACATCGAACCATTCTCATCAGCGAACTTTCTGGCTCGCCAAATCAGCACCGTCATTTCGTTGGAACATTTGCACCACGAATGGCGGGTAGAGTCCCTGGCTGGGTGGAAGAACGCTCGTTCTCGTCGGGCGCCTTCTCAGCGGACCACCAGGAGTACGAATACGCTCCAGCCGGCCATTCAAGTCAACGCGACGAGGAGGATACTCCGGGAAGCGAGAATAATCTCTATCCTGGGGCAGCTGATCGCGGCGTGGAAGACGCACTTGACGGGTGGGGTGGCGTCGTTGTCTAGTGGGCCGGGCCTGTATTCGGACTTGCGCATATTACAGGAGTGTCGTGTAATGGCCGACGAAGACCAGACGATTGAAAATATCCTGGAGGCGCGTAATGCCACCCAGGTAGCCGTGCAGGTGTGTACATATTTTTGTGGCCAGCCACTTCTTATTCGTCTTAGTTATGAATCCAAGCGATACCCTCGTTGGCGGGGTATCCTCCGACTTCTCCAGCCTCGCTGGAGAGTATCTAGGTGATGCTATGTCTCAGGACGATAGATCTGAGAAAATAGAAGGGCCACAGAAAAGTCGGGAATCTGCACCATCATTACCACCGCTTCAGCCAACTCGATCACCTGTATTTTTCGCTCCCCTAGACACTCCGTGTAACGTTCTCAAGCCTCGGTATGTTTGTTCCCTCAAGAACCATCCTCAATATGTCTAACTTCTCACTCAAATGTCTCTTAGTCGCGAGATTATTCAGGACCAGTGGAACAAGATTGCACGCGAAGCTGGTGCAGCCGGAATTGAGTTCGTCAACGAGGTTGACGACGAAGAGGTCCCACCGGGCATTGGCATTCTCTTTCCTTATGTTGAGAGGAGTTACCTCTTGCAAGTTTGCTCTTTGGCACGTTCTAAATCGCAATTCGAATATATACTAACCAACGCCAAGTGACATCGGAATCGCCGAACCGATTGCTTTGGCCGGGTGCGAGTGTGATGGCAAGAGTGGGTGCAACAACGCACGGCCTGGGCGATGTCCTTGCGCATCCGCATCATCCACCCTCAAAAACGGGCCGGCGTACACGCAGGTTCGGTCAAACTTGATCTATATACATACATCACAGGGTATTCACACTTGATTTAACTTTCAGGGTCTCTTCGCTTTCACCACTGAATCCGAAATCGTCGAATGCAACAGTGTAAACTTCTCTATCCCAAGCAAATTCAATATATATATTTAACTTCCGATCTGACAGGCCTGCGGCTGTTCGCCCCAGTGTAACAACCGTCTCGCCCAGTTCCCGCGGCAAATCCCAGCTCAGATATTTAAGACCGAAAAGCGTGGATGGGGCGCCAGACTTCCCCTTGATATTGTCCGAGGACAGATGGTCGGGCTTTATACTGGGTAGGCATTCATTCATTTTCCATGGATCCGTGTATCGTTTGAATTAACTGTCCCATCCCTAGACTTCTAATGTCAGTATATATTTTTATTTTTCGCAGGCTGACACAACACAGTACTGAATCAATGTTCGATCCCTTGCAGACGACGAGAAGAGGCGGACAAACTGTCCGGTAGCAGAGCTTCGTACTGTTTTGACTTGGACGTCAACGAGGACCCGGACGAGGAGACTCCGGAAAATGCTTATAGTGTGGATGCTTATGGATGTGGTACGACGCGCCATCATCTTGACACGCCCGCACAAATGAACGGCTGATTTTATGTTTCTCCCAGGCAATTGGACGCGGTTTATCAAGTGCTTCACGAACCTTCTTTACTCACAAGCTTACAACTGACAGTGCTTTTCCAGTCATTCCTGCAGCCCCAACCTCCAGATAATCACCATTGTTTATGATACGATGCCTGAGGTCAGTCTCCTCCTCATTTACATTAAAACAATCCCATTCGAACGCTCACGGGTTAATCTGTTCTTCAAGGACAACATGCCCTACTTGGCACTAGTAGCGACCGAGGATATCCCAGCATTCACAGAACTCACTTTCGACTATAATCCCGCACACCAGACGGAATGGGAGTTGAAGAGATATAGGGAGAAAACACGGTCCAAGAAGAATAAAAGCAAGAAACAGACCCGCTGTTTGTGTGGGGCGAGTATATGTAGGGGATGGTTGTCCGTGGTTGCTTGAGATTCGCTCTCTACGGACCGTTTGCCGGTGACTTTGTAACTTTCTTGCGTGACGGCGGATTGGTATCACGAATTTCGGGCGAAGAAATGCAGTCGCATTTGTAAGATTTCAGGAATCGGAACTCCGTACAACTAGCGAGACTTAGTTTCTACTTAATCTTTCACCGTGACATCCGCATGTAAACAGAGGTGGCGAGAACACCCAAGGAAAAACCAACGACCAGGTTGATGCCGCCTGCGCTGTTCATGGTCAGAAATCTATATCGACTCTTCGTTGACCTGTAAGACTGTCGAGGCTCTTGGTATCTTGGCCGCCCAAGCGAGGAGTCGCGTGCGGTGGCTCTTGAAGTCAAAAAACGGGACGGCGTAGCCGCAGGACTGTGTTCGAGTTCAACGATGGAGGTGAGAGCACATGAAAGGATGCTAGCATACTGAGCCGACCTTGTAGACATCGGCGACAATGACAGAGCAGGTTCCTAGCTTGTGCAATTGGGGGGGAATGAAGCTGTTGAACTCGGGTAACCCGAACTCGTATACGGTGCCTGTTGGTCTTGAGTATCAAGCATGGTCCAAGCGCCGACCTGGAAGAATTACCTTGTCCATAGAGCTTGACAATTCTGGGCGGTCCTTCGAAACCATTGAATAAGACTGCGA